AATGCTGAGATTCATGCTAAAAAGATCCAAGATTTTGTTTAAAAAAGTCAAATTTCTCTGACAAACAGTGGTTGATGAGATATTCGCCAACGCCCGCACTTAACAGCCGTGTTTGTACACGTAATGTAGACTGTCACTATAGCAGATGTTTTAAAACGTCAGAGCAAAGATCATCCTTGTCTACTTCTAATATAAACAAACATCAAAGAGCTAAAAACCAAGTATACATAAGCTGTTATAAAGCGATTATTTACAGTTACGGTAACCGTTGCATGCCTGATGTGGAATAGTGACTAAACTTTATGTAGTCGTCATATATGATTATGAGATTTGTCTACTTGATTTACTGAGAAGGCACAAAAATGATTAGTGTAGTGGTTCCGTTTCTTTGCGATAAACTTGACTGGACTAATTTGACAGAACGGGCTAATGAATAACAACGATTATTGTATCTTTTCGTTTTTGAACATCTCTCACACTATACGAAGGAACAATAAAAAATATGCTGTCTGCTTCGTGTGTCGTTTCTTTTTTGTTTATCAATTTTTTAAGCAAAATGTGCATCTCGTGATCTAGAGAACTATGAAAGCTAGAAAAGTTCTGGAAAAGGTAGGATGTTATCCCGACATTGGAGATTGATCAATGCACATTTTTCTCGTAAATAAAGGTCTAGATTCGATGCTAAACGCCACAGTTGAAACAAAAATGTATTTTGGACTTCGAAACTTTTCGTACATTTATAAGAGTTGATTGTCCGATGCCATTTGTTCTCAAGACGAAATAAAATTATTTAATACATTGTTCTTCATATTTGGGAAATTTTGGTAATTTACGTGAATTCAGGTGAATTTTGAATTTAACGGACTAAATTCAGCTGTTTTCCCCTTGCCTCAGAAGCTGTTTTTTTCACCAGTAGTAGATCGTAACGACTGAACAAAAAGAACAAAGTCTCAAACGGTAAGAAAATAAAAGAGTTACAGATACAAAATCGAAAATCTTACGTAACATTTACTGTCAAAATGCGGGTTTTAAATTTTACTTGAGTTTTTTCCCAATGAAGGTCACATTCAAAACAATTCAATTTTTCATCATGTTGTAGGATTCTCCACCGGCTCTGATTTGAGACCACTTTGAACTTTTTCTGTTGAACTCCGCAGAAGCAGTAGTAGTTTTAATCTCGCGTACCAAGAACATGAAAGTGTATGTAAATACAGTTTTTATCGAAACTTATCGAGAAAAGTGTCATGAATCGGCACGCCAGTCACCTATTCAAATAGCCCGAAATGTCTACTACAAACTAGGCGAATAAGTGCGGTCAAAAACACGAAATAGAACAGAAAAAAAAGAATTTTTGATCAACAGGTGGCACTCAAAACCACGATTTTGACCACTTTGTGCCGACTATCTCAACAACAGTTTGATGCAACATTGTGATTTTTTTCTATGTTAGGGAGCGTAAGTTAGAGGAGTAAACCAAAAGACCACTGGAACCTGACTGTTTACATGTCCGAGTTAAATGAAAGAATGAAAGTGCAAATCGTTCATATATACATAAATTTTTGTACCCACCATCCTCTTTTTCTTGTGGTCATAACTCGGTAACGGAAAAAGCTTTTGACAAGCGGTTTGCACCAAAATATTCTCCGCTCTCTCTAGTATATTTGTAGATAAAAAAAAGTTAGAAACATTCATTGTTGTTCTGTGTAGGCTCATTAGATCGAAAAGTGAACGTTTTCCGGCTATCAAAAATTTTCCGTACAGTTGATAAAAGCCTTTTTATACGCTGTATAAGCACCGACAAAATATGAAAACTACATTAATCGATAGAGGAGAGCGCCAGTTACATTTTGGTAAACAAGTCATTTTGATGCTCTTTCGAATGGCTTAATCAGAATTTTTTTTTCACCTATCCATTCTCGAGATTCCGAGGTCACACTGAAGAGTATAGCACTTTTGGCTTAAAGTCGCGTTTTCATCCTAAGGAAAAACCTTTTCAAAATTACTTTTTTACCAAAATGTAGCTGGTGCTCTCCTCTATCGATTGATGTAGTTTTCATATTTTGTCGGTGCTTATACAGCGTATAAAAAGGCTTTTATCGACTGTACGTAAAATTTTTGATAGCCGGAAAACGTTCACTTTTCGTTCTAATGAGCCTACACAGAACACAAAAGAATGTTTCTAACTTTTTTTTATCTACAAATATACTAGAGAGAGCGGAGAATATTTTGGTGCAAACCGCTTGTCGATAGCTTTTTCCGTTACCGAGTTATGACCGAAAGAAAAAGAGGATAGGGGTGTACGGAAATTTTTGCCGCCACTGTATATATGTATATGTATTGAAAAAATTTCATGATAAATTATGATTCTTCAACTTGTGAAACAAAAGAGACGATGTATTTCTTTGTCCAAAATCAATGGATTTTCAGTGATTCTCTGTGATTTTCAATGATTTCCAGTCATTTCCGGTAATTTTTCATTCGGTGAGAATCGAAAAAATCCCAAAATCAGCTGTCTCCTCCTTGGTTTCTTTTCAATTTTTTAACAGTTTTGAGAAAACGTGGTTTTGGTGAGACAACTGACGTAGAAAATGTAGCAATGGGTCTATTGGGCACAAATCTGTTACTGTATGAGCACCGCTCGGCACGACTGTTATCTCTAAATTTTTTCACAATCGGAAAAAGAAAAGGGATGTTTTATTTATGATAATATGTAAAGATAACAAATAACCTCAGAGTAGCAAACAGTTAGTCATCAAAATACTTTCCTCTGAAAGTTAATGAGAACTCATCTCAATGTGGAATTGTGCTGATCAGAGATTCATGGGATTATTACTTTCTTGTGAAAGGTGAATGTAGCAACTTCTATCTTTCGCAGATTACAATTTTCATACTGGATGTAATATGTATTTCTTCATAGTTAAAACTAAAGGTTCTAACACTAACAAACAAAGAAAAATAGATCATTGTACTAAGTTTGCTTTTAAAAGTTTTGTTTTTCATTTGATGTTGCTGCTACTAGTTTACATGTACAAAATGGTAGTATACATCGATGCTGTGCTTCTAATAATCTTCCGGTACGAGATTGTGCCGTAGCTGCAGCTCTTGCTATAAACGGTGCTGAAATTGATATAAGATTCGCTGCAGCTGCATGATGAGAATATGCATGATGATGGTGATGATAATAGATCGATGGATAGGGAGCAAATAGTTGACGTGGTGTTATATAGGATGCCGATGATAGAATGGGACTGAATGCAGATTTTGTTGTCATTGCAGCTGTTGAGAAAGACGTTGTACAATTCGTTGTTGCTGATATTGGGTTGGTGGTGGCGACTGTTGAACAAGTTGTTTGACAAATACGTTTAATTGTCTCTTGCATATTACTTTCACATTCGTCAAGTATATTTTCTAATAATGTGTGAGAAGTATTCGGAAATAATTGATAGAGAGTTGTTAAATTTGCTTGCTTTGTTGATGAACTTGGTGAGATGGTAGATGTTTTTATATTTGTTAAATTCGTTGACTGTGCTGTAATACTGTCGTCATCTGATAATTCTGCTGAACTTGCAACTCTTTGCTTCTTATGACGACTTGATGATAAATCATCACCTTTATTTTCATTTGAACCACTGCTAGCCACCAAATCATCGGAGACATTGACTGTTGCTTTTTCATTTTCTAAAACATTTCAAATAAAGTAACATTCAACTTCGATTTGCGAAATAAAATAGTAAAGCCAAACATACAAAAATCTCAGCATGTATTATAAAATCTCGAACGTTATAAAATTTACTTCGTTCTAGAAAGGCCTCACTCATTGGTTTATACAAATATTCCGTATAACCGAATATTTACCGAAGCAAAGTTTTTTTTCCTAATCTTCTTTTATGTCTTATTTTATCGATCAGTTAAAAAACAAAATTAACCTTGATTTGAATCACTGCTTGAATCTTGATCTTTATTCAAGTCAGCATCAGCATTTAATGATCGTTTTAATGCTAGAATAGTTTCCGGTGGTGTACCATAGATTGCACTTAATTCACGTGCATCACTTTCTTCTTGTGCTTGTTGTCGTCTTAGAGCAACCTATATATAGACAGTTATACTAGAGAGAGACATGCAGAAAAAAGATTTCAATTACTTTACCTGTGCAGCCATGACCCGTTGTCTTTCAGCAATCAGTGTACATTTAGCACAGACACAATCTTTCCAACTACAATAACGTTTATGACCTTTTAATGCTGATACAACACCATGATTTCTACATCTTGCACACTTAGGGGTTCTTTGATATCGTTCAGTGGCACGTAACAACAATGCATGTGGTAAATAAGGAGAAAGTATGGATGATGAATTTGTTGTTGTCGATTGTGATGGTGATGATGATGTCGAAGAAGAAGAAGCTGGCATCATAGATGAATTTGTTTCACTGCTAGTTTTTAACACTAAAAATAACAGTTCACCGCTCGTTAATGATAATAATACAAAAAAAAAACAATTTGGTTATAAAAAATTATTAGTAAAAAGAAAAAGTTAGAATAAACTGAAGTCAATAGACGAATACAATAGAAGATATGTATCGCATGTTTTTTTTTTCTCCTTTCATATTAGAAATAAAAAAATACATATTTGGATTTTATGTTCTGTTCTTTTATAGTTATATACAAACTGAATAAGAGAGAGTATGAGTATAAAAAAATGTAAGTCTGATTCAAATTTTTTGTCTATAGATGAGTCTAATATAGAATCATCTTAACTTCTATTTATCCAAAAATATTTGATTTTCGAGTTAGAGAAAGATCGTATAGAGTAAGAAAACTTTTGTATTCAACAAACTGAGACTTCAAAACTGATGGTGAAAATACGAGCTACAAAGCTGGTTCGTTTCATAAAACATTTGCTTGCAGAGAGATTCAGACACAGTTTTCTGAACAAATTGAAGATGAAGTAAAAGTTTTGTAGTATCGATTTTGTTTTTGAGAATAAGATCATCTCAGTGACGTTTAAAAAAAATTTGCACTTTTTCATAAAAACTTTGAGACAAAATTTTTTCTTGAACGTTGAATGGGAGTTCGTTTCGCAATAAAATATATTTTATTCGCTCTAAAAATTCCTGGAATCACCTATCTTATCAAATGTTTTTTGTATCGAGAATACAAATATTTCGATATAGATAATAAGAGATACACCACCTTTTTCATCATGAAAATCGACTATTTTCTGTTTGAGACGTTTCGTCTTTATTCAAAAGACATCCTCAGAGGACTGAGGATGGCGTTTGAATAAAGAC